AAATCCCATGACAGATCTTGAAAAAATTCATCATAAACTCTATGGTTTTCCATTACTTATCATATTCAGCTAATTAATTTTTCATCAGTATAACGTTGTCATAAATATTTTTCACATGAATAATTTTCTGTCCTCATCCAAGTAGTATTGAACAAGATTTACAAATTGTATGACGCCATACTATAATTGTACACACGCACTGTAAAGACCATGAAAAAAAATATAATATGAGATAGTTAATTAATATTTTTATTTATATTTGGTAAATTGATAACAAAAAAATGACAGGAAAAATCCTAAAAAAATAACTGTTGAATTCTAAAATTTCAAATAAGGAATTACTGCAAAAATACATCGTTATTTGTTTTTTGAGTGGAGTCTTTTTTTTTTTTTTACGAATGTAATAACCAATACTAATTTAGAATTTTGAAATTCAACAATAATTTTTTTTTAGGATTTTCCCAAAAAGACAACACACTGAATATGATAGTTGATTTCTAAATTCGAGAACTTGAATATCGTCCCAAAACAAGGAGCAATTTCTCCTTGTTTCTAAATTATATGGGGATAATATCACTTTTGGTTCTAGAAATTTAACTTCATTTTCGTTTTAGTTTCTCAAATTTCAAATTCATGATTTAGTCCTTCAAATTTAGTTCTTTTTAAAATATGAATTTATAGATGTGTAATAATGTTAAAATCTAATAAAGTATCATAAAAAGCATTAGTGTTGATGTGGACCTACTTCTTAGAAAGCAACAATATAGCTCCCGGTTTTTCCCTCCCCATTGATTGGAGAAGGTGTTCACCATGCTTCATTTTGAGGTCAAACTCATCTAGAAGGAAATTACAGTCCATAATATAAGCTGTCAGGATAATTAATGACCTATTAATTACGAGAGAAAGTTCTAAATGTATGTGAAAGAGGAGAGAAAGATAAGAGATAATAAAAATGTATTGAAAATTTTTTTAATTATTTTTCAGTAACATTCTTTAAGAGTAAAATTAAATAGGACAATTTTATTATTTTAGGATACATTTAATAATTTAACTATCATCCGTAGATTAATAAGAAAGTTTAATCAACTGCTTATCGTCGAGGCAGAATGAATCATTTAGAAGTTTTTAGATTTAGAGTAAAATACTCTAATACCCCTCTATTTTACCTAAATTACATAAACCTCTGTTTTATTTTGAAAATGTATATAAACCTCCCTTAAAATTAAAATGCATGTTACACAAACCTTCCTTGCACATTTGATATTTCATTTCTATTCATCCAACTGTTAGTTAATTGTTAAGTTTGACTTTTAAAATTTTGAAATAAAAATGTTGTTAGAAACGTTTATAACATATTAAGTGTATTATATATTTATTTAAAGAATTAATCAAATTTTCATTCAAGGTTTTTATGTTTACAGTAAATAAATTAATTAATTTTCCATCCCAATATGATAAAAACATAACTATTTATAAAACAAAAAAATTAAGGAAAAAAATTTTAATTCGTCAAAACTCTTTGGTCAAAATTTATGGATTTAGCATTATGAAGCATAAATTAGTAAATAAAAGTATCTTAATATAAATTTTAATTAAAATGCATCTTTTTAGAATATTTTAACAAAGTTAACAATTTGAAGTTAAGTGTATGTTTTCAAAATAGAAGAGAGATTGGTGTAATTATAGTACTCACCTAGTCCTATTTATAGAGTAGAGATAAAAATATTTTTTGGTCCTATTTATAGGGTACTAAGAGAATTTTTTTTATATAGATCTACAATTTTACCTCTCATTTATTATTGTTTTGACTTTGTTTATATGAGGTATAATATATATTAAATAAGAATAAAATTGGAAAGTTGTTGAATTTTAAATGAAAGTTAATCATGTTTAAGATTTTTCTTAGTATGTGTAAAACGTGTTAAAAGTGACTTATGAATAGGATCAGAGGAGTAAAATGCAAGGAATGTCAGTCTATTTTACTCTTAAATTTAATATGAGAGCAGTCAGTGGAGCTTTCACGTATTCATGAAGTTGCGTGGTTGTTTGCACTGGTGGTTCTCGTGCGTTCAATAAGCGAAAAGGTTCAGGCCGAAAAAAATAAATAATAATAATAATAATAAGCTAAAAGATTAAAGATAAAATTGCTGACTGAAGGGATGAGGTGATAAGATGACATAAGAGAATTGAAGACACCTATTATTAGTCTCCCAACTTATTTCAACCTACTTTCCTGTCATAAATACAAAAGCTAATAAAAAACTTAATTTAATTTTAAATATAAGATTTTAATTTAAAAAAATAATTAAATATCTTAGAAATTGCTAAAGGACAAATCAGTGTAGGTAAATTTCTCAATTCAGACCCCTTGTACCATTTTAGAATTTTCAAATCTTATAAAATCATACAAATACCCTTTACTATTTTTTTTTTTTAAATATAGCCATCTTAGTACCCTTAGCCAGTTTTTGGCTGCTGGAGCTTTGACACTGGGGACCTTGCCAGCAACCAGTTGCCGTAGCTCTAGCAACATGTCATCGAAACTCCCATAACCTATCGCTGGAGCTCCGTTGACTACTCTTTCTTAGGTATTGACTACTCTGTTTAAACTATTGACTGCATTTGTTTTAAAACTCTGATGACTACTCTATTTAGCTACTCACTATTCTAGTATTGCGATTGACTATTTTTATTTTTAAAATTTCGGTGACTACTCTTCTTTAGCTATTGACTATTTTAGATTCCCTATTGACTACTTTTATTTCAAAAATTCAAACAATGCATCAAGTATTGCTGGAGATCTAATAATTACCTTTTGTTTAGTCATTTACTACTCTTGTATAATCAATGGCTATATAAAAGTAGTTATGAAAACTTTAAAAACAAAAATAATCAATAGTTAAATTAGAGTAGTTAATAGCTATATAAAAGTAATCACTGAGAATAAGGACAGTGTTGTTATTTCACAGTATTTTAAAATTTCACAATAGTACAGGGGTCTGATTTGAGATTTTGAAATTCACCCACTCTAATTTGTCCTTTAGCATTTTTGAGGGTATTTTAGTGTCTTTTTCCCTTTAATTTAATTTCTTTTTATATTTATTTATTAAAGTAGTCCTTATTGTAATTACATATGTTAAAAAAATTTCATTTTAATGCATATGATTAACAAGGGTATTTGAGAAAAGGCAATACCCTATTTATTACAAATAAAAAATTTAACTAATTTTTTAATATTCACAAATTAGCAATCCAATTCTTATATCAAGTGACGGGAGGAAGGATTTAATTTGCAGATCAAATATTGGGTGCACTTAACTTTTCAAATCAACCTATGAATATATAACATAAAATTCTTAGTAATACATTATTATTCATAATAATTAGGGATGCCAACATAATACTTATTTGGATAATCTGCTTCGCTAATTGTTCTAAAAAAATTAAATTTGAGAATAAACCTCTTGAGATCGGAGAGTGAAACTTCGATGATAACTTAAGCTCTTAAATAGAGAAATAGTCATTAAGTAGAGAAGAATATGTAGAATTTGGAACTCATCTAGTTTTACTCATATTTTAAATATTTTAGTTATGAAAACTTATTTATTTAGTAATTTTTTACAAATTTAAATACATGAGTTGAGCAAAATAATATTTCAAACACATATGTGGGAAAAAAAAATCAAATAGGACTTTATTATAGTGAAAGATAAATTAGTCATTATAATATATGCATGTTTATTGTATAGAAAAAAATATACGTGCATGTTTATTTTTCTATAAACTTCATACATTTTAATACAATATTTTTAAATTATTTTTTTAAATAATACCATCCTTAATTAATCCGAGTTCTTCAAATTGGAGAGAGGGAGGGGGAGAGACTGAGAGAGAGTAGATAATTAGATTATAAAGACAAATTAATAATTTTAAAATTTTCAATTTAATGACAAATAAAGACGTCAGTTCAAGTTCTTCTATTGAAGATTTTGTTTTTTGCCGCCCTCTTTAATTGTATTCATCAGGAAGTGATGAAAAAATTTTCTATGGTTAGAAAATAATTATGAAGTTGACATTTAATAATAAAAGGATGTAAATAATACAAGAGTTGTATACATTTTTTTTTTTTTCAAAAGATGGATTTAAATGATTTACTATCATATTCTGAGCAACATTCTGATAGGCAGTGTTTTGCATGTGTAGTGATAGAATTTGCTCTAAGAAAACTGATAAACACTGATTCATTGAGATCTTTTTGTTGTTACACTGAACAAAAATTCTATCCCTTTTGGACTGCGAAATTCACTTCATCCCCCTCTCTGGGGAAATCCTATTATTTCTTCTTTACAACAACGGTTTCTTCAATCAAGTTTAGCAAAAATTAGTAAATTACAGATCAGAACGGAGAGAATGATAACGAATTATAACCTAATGTATGGGTCCTATTCAATATTCCCAATGGTACGGTTTTACGTCAGAGGCACTGATCTTCAATCCCTTACAAGTTACAATATTCTTACCAATATCTTACCGAATGTTCAAGTCAAGCAATTTAATATGGATAACAGCTAAGCAACATTGTTACAATTTGAAAACTTTCAGATACTCAACATTCCTAAATAAAATTTCTAGGGCAAGTTTGTACCTTAACTTAGAAAAGAAAATGACGTGGATGACAAGTGAACCTACTAACTCAGCATATTTAGTTAACTAACGGTCAAACTTAGATAATGGCCAAGGTGACATTGCTATTATTTGAAACTTCCACGGTGATATTGAGCCAAAAAAATTCTGTATACCTGGCACTTTTAAGTAAAAACTTTCAAGATAAATTTATATCTTAACTAATTTACATTGGGAAATTAGGAAAGCATTTAAATGTTGTGAGAGCCACTTGCCGAGACACCCAGCGCCGCGCCTCGCATCTATATATTTACTCTTAACACAGAGCATAGCAGATCTACCTTATTCTCCTGTTGTTTCTTGACTAAGAAGTTTAGATGGCGGAAGTAACAGATTCTGAAACAAAAGACCCAGAGGTCTTGGGGAGTCCTCCACAAACCGTATGCATCCTGTTCAATTTCTTTTTGCTTACTATTTTTAAGGTTGCTTCGATCTGTTTCATTCGTCAATTATTACACTTTTTTATCTTTTATGTTGTTTAGATAAGCACTTGTTCTGAAGATACGATTGCTCCAGAAATCAAGGAGCAAGGCTTCCAAGTATGCATCCTTTACGACTGTTTGTTCAATTTTGAAGGCTTTTCTTATTTTTCTTTACTTCCTTTTTGCTTTCCATTTTTAATGTTGCTTCAATCTGTTTCATTCCTCAATTATTACAATATTTTTAGCCTTATTTTGTTTAGATTGATCCATATATCATGGAGATGGAGACATGGTCAACTGGTGCACCACTAATGAGTAGTGGTTTACACACGGTATATGCATCTTTTACCTCTGTTCAATTTCTTGTTGCTTACTACTTTTAAGGTTGCTTCTGTTTCATTCCTCAATTATTACACTCCTTTAGCCTTATTTTGTTTAGGTTCAGAGTTGTGGTCCACAAATGACTGATCAATATTCTGTCGACATTCACCCAGCAATGAATATCCCTGTGAGTGCTCAACAAACCATATGCTTCCTTTACTGCTTCAATTTTCGTTTTACTTACTGTTTTCAAGGTTGCTTCTGTTTCATTCCTCGATTATTACACTCTTTTTGCCTTATTTTGTTTAGAATCAAACTTGTGCTGCTCAATATTCTGACGACGTGAGTATTGCAGACGTTATAGTTTCTCAGAGTGCTCAACAAGCGGTATGCTTCCTTTACCACTCTTTAGTTTCTTTTTGCTTACTTTAAGGTTGCTTCTGTTTCATTCCTCAATTATTACACTCTTTTAGCCTTATTTTGTTTAGGTTCAGGGTTGTGGTCCACAAATGACTGATCAATATTCTGTCGACATTCACCCAGCAATGAATATCCCTGTGAGTGCGCAACAAACCGTATGCTTCCTTTACCACTTCAATTTTCTTTTTACTTACTGTTTTCAAGGTTGCTTCTGTTTCATTCCTCAATTATTACACTCTTTTTGCCTTATTTTGTTTAGAATCAAACTTGTGCTGCTCAATATTCTGACGACGTGAGTATTGCAGACGTTATAGTTTCTCAGAGTGCTCAACAAGCCGTATGCTTCCTTTACCACTCTTTAGTTTCTTTTTGCTTACTTTTAAGGTTGCTTCTGTTTCATTCCTCAATTATTACACTCTTTTTGCCTTATTTTGTTTAGATTGACATTAGGACTCCGCAAATGAGTGCTTCACGACTGGTGGTAACTAAAGACATCGAAGAACTTATTCAAGATTGTGGAGATGGTCATTTGTCACCACACTGTTGTATCTACAGGGTGCCCATTAAGCTCCGTGATCTTAAAAAAAATGCTTACACTCCAAAAGTTGTTTCCATTGGCCCCTTTCATTATCGCAATGAGGAGCTGCAAGACATGCAAAGGCATAAACATATACTGTTCAAAAGGTTTACAAAAAGAACCAAGTCAAGTTGTTGCGAATTGGTTGAATTTGTACAACAACTAGAGCCACGAGTCCGTGCTTCTTATTCAGATACCATTGACCTTACTGAAAAAGAACTTGTGAAGCTGACATTAATTGACGCTGTCTTCATCATTGAACTCTTCATCATGCCCCATTTTCGTGATGAGGAACCCGAGGATGCTAAATTGTCACAGCCATGGTTAGCGGATTCTATACGTCTAGATCTACTTTTACTTGAGAATCAACTTCCATTCTTTGTTATTGAAAAGCTGTTCAATGAAGCTTTGCCCCATGATCGTCGCTATGGCCTCCCTTCATTTCTTGAGCTCACTCATAACTATTTTGCGTATCGCAACAGACAAGAATTAGGGCCTCATTCTAGTGTTGATATGAAGCATTTCACAGATCTCCTTAGATTGTTTTACAAGAAAAGAAAAACGTCTGAAAGGAAGCCAAACACAGAGGGTAAGGATGAATGGACGAGAGTCCCAAAGGATGGAAGCCGTATTCTTTTATACAATGCGAATGCATTGGAAGAAGCAGGCGTAACGTTGAAGGGTGGTGAGAGTGAACACTTATTGGACGTGGAATTTTCAGGAAATATTCTTAAAATTCCACATATTGTGGTGGATGATAACACTGAACTTTTGTTTCGTAACATGATAGCATTAGAACAATGTCATTATCCTGGAAATGCTGACATTACTGATTATGCTCTCTTGTTGGATTGGCTAATAAACACAGAAAAAGATGTGGATCTCCTCGTTCGTGAGAACATAGTTAGGAACTATTTAGGTGATACGAAAGACGTTGCCACATTATTTAATGGTCTTTCAGACAATGTCGTTCAGTCAACTATCAGTCCTCACTATTCGGACACTTGCAAAAAATTGAATGGGTATTGTGAAAGGCCTCGGCACAGGTGGAAGGCAACCCTAAGACGTGATTATTGTCCTACACCTACGGCAACTGTTGCTTCTGTATTCGCCTGTTTGACACTTTTTCTAACCATACTTTCTATCCTCCAAGCAGCCATTTAAATTTACAGCTTCGTGTAATACTAGATTTTGATTGTTGTGTCCTGTACAGTTGTTATGAGTTTTGTCAGCACTGGGCAATGTACTCGTAATTAGTGAAGCATTTTCTTGGATGAGGTCCCGATTAATAGAAAGTGCATCTTGTAGCCATAGAAATGTAGTTCTATTCCTTATTTCATGTTTTGTTTAAATATTGTCCACTAAAGTTTATAAAAAATTATTACATACATACATACATCCATCCTCTTCTATATTCTTTCAGTTCTTGCAGCCATTGAATTAATCCGATGGGTGACGCAGATGGTCGCCGACAAATTATTGGACCTAATCTTTAGATATAGCCCAAATAGTCTCATAATTCATTTGGATTATTGGGTCTCTCAAGTCTTAAGTACGGATATCAAGAAAAATGAATCCAGTACAAGTGAACCGGCAAAGGGCTATTTACACGCTTATTTCGTGTAGCATAAATAAAGGAGGGGTAAAAGAGCATCTTGCTTACAAAGAAAGAGAGCATTTGGACTAAGTTGAATTTATGATATTCAATTGTATGTAACAAATTAGACCATCAGTTTTGTCTTATCTTTTTCCTCTCCAAAAGGGTATTTTGCGCATTGAAAATTGCTATCCTCGGCTCAGCGAACCAAACGGATTCAACGGAGGAAACACCCCCCCTCCCAGGCTAGGCATGAGCGAAATCAAACGAAGCCTTGAGATAATTTAGTGCGTTATTGAGTGCTTTTAGTATTTCAAAATTCTAAATAGATAATCCTTCACTCTTTTTTATTAAAAAAAAAACATAACTAATTCTTACTGATAAAAAAATACCTTAAGTTAATTGGATTAATAAATATGTTAAAAATAAAAAAATTTCAACAAAATACTCTAATTCAACAATTAGTTGCTTGCTTTTAATAATTGATCTCAGATTTTGTCTTTGATTTTTAATATAAAAGCTAGATAACTAAATTATTGATATTAAAAGAATAGTTAAATTAATTATTGTGAGAAGTTAGTTGAGTTTTCTGCTATGTGTAATTAATAGGGATATTTGAAAAAACTTATATATTTTGAAGATTAAAAATGAATGAAATATTATATCTAAGATTAAAATAATTCATTTCCCAGCTCCTACGTTTAAGGGGAAGTAGGTTTTTTGAATGCTCTAAATAAAAAATCATTATTTTTCTAAAAAATCCGGGAAGAAATATAACAACTACAATTAAAATATGTAAATAATTTGGAGAGGCCCGAACTATAATTGGGAAAAGGATGTCTCCACTTCCTTTTCCCATTTCTATTCACTTCTCATGTTAACTGTTAATATTGCTATTTAAATTTAACATTTTATTCATAATTTTATAAAATATGACATATGAACCATTTAAAATACAATTTAATGATTGAGATGGGAAGTGAAAGAAGATAGAGAGGAACGAAAATGGAGAGGCCCTTCTTCCACAATAATTACGTTTTGAAAGAAAATCTTGTAAACTGACTCAGAATCCAAATCCAAACCTGCGTCAAATGTCCTAACAAACATGATTACTTTCTCTAAAACAAAAACAGAATCATAGTTTTTTTAATTAAAAAAAAGGGGAAAAAAACAATGCTAGAGGAAAAAACCTAAAGGTACAAAATGGACAAGAAGACCCAGAACCAGAAGTAAGAGATAGCAGCCCGTCGCCAGCTGGGTTGCGCCAGACACAATTACCGGAAGGGAGTGTCCGAGTCTGATATCATCTTTCTCATCTTTCATGCCGGCATCATTAACGGCTACATTAACTCCTCCCCATAATCTGTGTCGTGCTGTGTAAAAGAACATGATCTTGTACTTCACCGACGTCGTAAAATTCACCCGGAAGTATGCTTTACCGTTCATCTTCGCCGTCCGGTTAAGTGCTCCGGCATGTGTTTCAACAGAGCTCCACTTCTTCGCATTCTTCTTGCGCCCCTGATAGAACCCGGCAATGGTGGAGCTACCAATCGGATTGGTGCTATTCCGATCAAGAAAAACACCGACAGTAAAGTTGACGTTGTCGTATCGAATCCCAGATTCCTTGTTTCCATTATCAAAGTCGACCATGAAGATTATGGCGGAGTTGGTAGTTGCATTTGAGGTTTTGTTCAGTTCAGGAACAATGAAGGTTGCGACGGAGCACTTGGGTTCGTTGGGTCGCAGGCTTAACCAAAGGCAAAATGCAGTTAATCCTAAAAAGAGTAACAAGCCGAAACCACATGCGCACAGATCTCCTCTGCCAGATCCCACCGTCATTCGTAGTGAGCCGCCGCCTCTCGTCATTGCCATTTTCCGGCCGGCGACCTGAAGCGTGAAGCAAGCAGCTAATTAAGTGAGTGAGTGGCAAAGATGTAAAGGAAAGTGAATGATGAGTATTTTAACAAGGGAATGAAAAATGCGATTAATTTATTAGATTCTATGTACATTATTGATTGCTTGCTACAGCTGAATGCTTTGGTTAGGCTACTTGGTTGTGATTCAAATTTGATAGAAGTATATTGATTAAAATTATGGAGATACTCAAACCACCATTATTTTTATTTTCTTGAAAGATAGGTTTTTAATATGAAAGTGAACTGTGATGTATGGTCATGATCAATGTTGATGGCTATGTTCAGAAAATTGGGATTGAAGAAGTTTCTTTGAAAATGCATCTTCAAATGCTGATAGACTAGAGATGCGTGATAGTGGACCGTTTATTTTGTTTTGCCGATGTTTGCTTTGTTGTTTCTTTCATTTTGTCTGCTTTTTACTTCGATTTTCGTTTTGTACTGTAAACCTTTTAATGGAATCTCCTTCTCGTTGGCAACAATGGAATCTCTTTCTATTGCAGACACACACACACACACACACACAGACTCTCAATTATGTGTAAATGGTCAGGAAAAACTTGATCACATGTTATCTCCATTTCTCTATCACTCAGCATTTTGTCTTTAGCCTAAATTCATATCGTTATATGAACCTCAAATTGGAATCATATCTGACTTTTATTCAAACAAATTAATGTGAGTATAAGTGGAGACCTTTAGCAAAGTGCAAGTATTAACATGTGATTGAAAATGAATATGAAAATGAAGGGTATGTGGGGAAATGATATTTGATGAAAACAGGAAGGCATATTACATGACATATATAGAAACTAAAGACTCAAGCATAAGATTAAAAATACGTCAAGTTCTTTATGTCTGTTATATTAAGTTTTCAGTCACACATGATTATGTGTCCCATTTTTTGATTATGTGTCCCATTTTTTAATATAAGTTTATGGTTTAATGATAATATTTAAAAATAGAACATATGGATATATGTATTGGAAAATTTGGCATAATAAATATGAAAAACTTGACTTAAGTATTGTTCGAGAAAATACATGAGGGGAAATAGAAACTATATACTAAGGAGTTAAATGAAAACTGGTGTGGAGAGCTCTATATATCAAACATGGACTTTATTGGCTGTAAGGATTAAACATGATGAATAGTTTGTTGATTAGCTGTGAGCGGCAATATTAATGAGTTGTGAGAAGAATAGTACTTATGATTAGGTATCTTATGGCTGTAAATACCTTGTAAGAATGGTAATGTTTTTTTTGGGTTCTATTGTGTGTGAGAATTATAGATTGTATTGCCCGTACTAGGAGTTTATATCCGCTTACTTTTATAGTGATAATGACATTGCTCTAGATAGCCATCGTATTATGAAAGGATTTATGTTGAATCTTCCACCAAATTCTGTTTGATCTTAAGAATATGTCCTGAAAATTTCAAGGTTATTAAGCACTTAATTATCTTTGAGTTGAATGAAATCTTCCATTTTTGACCTTGCGTCTAATGCTATTTGCTCATCTTGCCATTTATCCACTTCAATAACGATTATTACTTTTTTGCTGACTATAATTACTTTTCATAATTGTCCTGAATTTTTGGGCAAAATTTTTCATAATTACAATTAATTGTCCTGAATTTTTGGGTAAATTTTTCATAATAACAATTAAGATTCAACTTTCAGAAGTTACACTTTTAACGCTATATGACTTGTCATTCATGCAGCCTTCTTCAACGTCTCAAGCGTCTGAAAAATGAACTTATAGGTCTATCATTTCATAATATTTATTTAAGGTAGTATCAGCTCCCCGTGCATCAGTTTACTTCAAGTAATATATGATCAACAATATTACCATTTCAATCCATATTACAAAAACATTAATGCATTATCATGCACTTTTATGCATGGATAATAATATTGAAATTGCTTTATACTTTTATATGCTTAAAATCAAATTTTGTTAGCGAAACCTCGGTTCATAAGTAGAACATAAAAAAAAAATTGCCATTTTGATTTGAACAATTAGTAGCATTAATTGTGATAAATTAATTAACCAGTTGAACTTTAGAAAAATATGTAGAATACAGGAAAAAAACCATGATACACCGGAGATGCCAAAGTATAATATAAAGAACATATATATATATATATATATATATATATAAAATGTGTTTGTCACATTAGATAGCAAAAATTACTTGACCAAAACAAAGTTAAAATGAGAGAATTCTTTACACATTTCAATTGATATATACATGAAACAGCCAAAAAAATCTTCATTAATCTCTATCAATAAAATTTTCAAAATAAAAAAAGAAAAATGCTAAAAGTAGGAAAGTCTTGAAAAAGTATGGAAAATAGAAAACTATCTGAAATAAATAATCGTATGATACTGGACGATAAGCCACTCACTTAGCTCCTGCTTCCAATTCAGGTGTTAACTCGATCCATATGTTTGCTATACACATCAACCTCCTTTTGTCAGCAGGTTCTAATAGATATTCATTCTTCTGCATGTAACCATCTACATGAGTTATTGAAATTTTTTTTTTTTGGTATTTAAAAATGTTGAGGTTTAAAGCAACATTAGAAGGTTTCGCAGTATCATGAGACTCTTATGTCATTCATCTACATGCATGTTAACATGTTTGGTGCGAGGATTCCAAGAGGCTAATATTATGTAATACTATCTTAATACTTAGGGCAATAGAATAACATGTTAGAGTTCCTAAACCTACTAATGTGTGCCTCCACATCATTTGAAACATAGTGATCACAATCCTGAATTTATGAACCACCATAGCTTTGACAGAGTTGGAATGTGTTGGCAGGCCAAGATCTCACTCAAGAATCAAGATAGAGGATCATTTTCCTGTTAAATTCTATGATCCTTGATTTAGCTACATACTCAATTTAAATCTCCAGTCCTGCTGCAAATCTGTATAAACATGAAATAAGGAACTAAATAATGTTAGAAATATATATCAGACAATCAAGAAAGCCAACAACTAACAGTAAAAACAGGAAGAGGAATGACCACAAAGCTTAGCATAATAACATAAATATTTTTCTACTCTAAAGTTTCTAGAGAAAAGGCTAATATTACAGCCACCAACCTATTAGCAATGCTCATATTTATACGCCAACTTAGCAGGGATTTAAAACTTAAATTTAGAAAGGTAAAAAGAAACAAAACAACTCAAACACCATAATTGATGTAAACATTATTCACCAAGCATATCTTGGGAAATATAAAGATGAGTGAGATATGATATTATGTTTAACAGAGTAACAATACACCCATGGTGCACAACCAGTTTGAAGAGTTACCTACAAATGAGTGAAAGTTAAATTCTCACACACACACACACACACACACACACATGTATAGATATATATTGTGAAATATAATTCATATAAGTTACCCAAGAAAAGACCTGCACAATTTCTTAGTCAGAATTGCATCATGCGTGTGGGTTGTGCATGATTTATCAGAAACATAAAAAATTGCTAGCCAAGAGCAGTTTTTACCATTGTGTAAAAAAACAATTCATTGTTCAGATTCCTTGTTCCTTATTCAACGGCAAAGCTGCTGTGAGATTTCCAAAAGTAAAAAGGTCAGTAACCAACTCTATGGGACACATGAACCACAAAATAGTGGTGCATATTTACCAACCAAAACAACAAAAATGACCGTGATTATGTACTCCACATATTGCATGGCAGATATTGCCCAAGAGCTTCATCTGTCCCCTGTATCGTAGATATCAAAACTTTGCTCTAACAGTACTGTGGGTACTTAATCCAAGAATAAATCCAATTAACAAAACACCAAATAGTGGCTCCAAAGTAAACCAACATGAACCACATTAATAAAATATGTGGATGCTGACTGACAGAGAGAAAGAACTTCAATATTTCAATTGTAGTAATATGAGAATTAATGAATGATCATCTTTTTGACACAAACAGGATACTCATAATAAATTTAATTGAGAACATTAGAAGTGGATAGATAAAACCACTAACTCAGAAAACAAAAACTAATTAATAACTTATAGATTAAGGCTATTGACTTCTTATAGAATTTTCCACAGCATGGAGTAGGTAACGAAAAATTGAAAGCACATTATTTCAACTCAGAAAAAGTACAGAAAATTACTCCAACTCAGCTCTAGTATTCAAAAGAATTGCTGATGGAAATGGACATAATAACCAAATATGGCATAAGAAAGTTTTAAAATAAAGCTTAATACATGAGGGATGACCCCTTTTTTAATGAAAACGGCACATATATAATTTCATAACAAAAAACAATAGCGAACTGCAAATCAACGTTATTCACTTCATCACTACCTAAAGGTTGACACGAGGGAACACTTGTTACAAAACTTGTTACAAGGCTTAACCAAATGTTTCATATTATTAAGTAGACAGTACCCAAAGAAAAAAAGAAAACTTTAAAATTTAACAAACAAAAGAAGCTTCAAAGAAGAGACTTGAAGCCCAAGCTGGACCATCGGTGAGTATGCGCGCGTCTTTTTCTAGGACGCAGGGGAGCTTCAAACAGCCCTCTCTGCTCAGTTTGAACTTTGTTAAGCTTTGAATCTCAATCAAATATATTATCATTTCACATACAATCAACTAATATATTATTACCAACCAAATATGTTATCATTTCACATCACATATCTACTTCTGAGGAATAATTTTAGATCTCTATATTCAGGGGAGTCAATCATAGCACATATATTTATCGTGGAGGTCAATGCCTTAACTTGCTAATACATTTATATCAATAATCAATATATACATATACATATAAATATATATTTACTAAAAAAATTATATACATGCATGTATATAAGCATACAATAAGGATACCTTCTTCCTCAAACACTTGGTGCGCATCTGAAATCTACCTTTTAACTAGTAGCAAGTCAGGCGTTAATTAATTAACATCTCATGTGTCCTCTGCTTCACTACTACTGAATCTCTATTGGTCGTTTTCTCAAACACTTGACGTGCGTCTTCAATGATACATTTTCTTTCCATGATGATTGGGAACAGCAGGTGCAGAAATAAATAATCAACAATAAGAATTAAATTCCAGTAGTAGCAAGAAGCAACATAAATGCCTGACTTGCAAAACTTTCGAATTTTAACATTTGTGATACCTCATTACCTCTTCCAATACAAAATCATAAGCTCTCAGGATGGGTGATGAACACCTGACAGTGAAATACATAAACATTCGGTCTATTTTGTGAAGAATTTCAAAAAAGGAAAATCCACTACAGAACAATGAAATACACTAAAATAAAAAGCAAAATCCAAACTATGAGGAATACTGAAGGGGATACATAGAAAAGTGAAGGGAAGAAGAAGACTTGAATTTACCTGTAGGTTCTGCTCTAGAAGCGCTCCTTGGTGTTATATGAGAGTCTCCGACCAATGTCCATCTCTACCCTCACCCAACGACTGCCGGCGTCAGAGACAGCGAAGTCAAGCTCCCGCAGCTGGTTCACAAGTGAAGGAGTTCATCCAGGAAATTGAGGAAGAGAGAAAAGAGGGAAGTAGGGAAAGACACTGAAAAACAAATGAAGGGAATTACAGATTGTATTGTCAGGACGAAGGAGATCATATCCTCCTAGTTTTATAGGGATAATGACATTGCTCTAGAGAGCTATCATATTGAGAAACAAATTGTGTTGAATCTTCCACCAAACTCTCTTTGATCTCAAGAATATGTCTTGAAAATTTCACGTTTATTAAGCACTTAATTATCTTTGAGGTGAATTTCAATCTCTCACTTTTGACCTTGCATCTAATTCTATTTGCTAATCTTGCCATTTATCCACTTTAATAATGATTATTACTTTTTTGGTAACTACAATTACTTTTCATAATTTTCCTATATTCTTTACCAAGTCTTGTCTTTGAGGTCCCTTTCAATCTTCCACTTAGGAATCTTCTTCCTATTATTCCTGAATTATTGGGTAAATTTTTCATAATTACAATTAAGATTCACCTTTCAGAGATTGCAGTTTTAACCCTATATGACTCGTCATTCATGCAGCCTTCTTCAAACATCTCAAGGGTCTCAAAAAATAAATTATAGGTCCATCATTTCATAATATTTATTTAAGTTCCCTTAACTTTTAATCATTATATGATTTGTCAAGGTATGATTGCTTCTTTTATATTTAGTCTCTAACCCCTTTCATTTTGGCCATTGAAACTCTCCCATTGTATTTAAAAATATTTATACTCTAGATCTAGAAAAAAACTTTTAATTTGTTATTTAGTTTTTGCAAATAATTTTATCTTTACTCTATATTTCTGAGAGCTCTACTCAACTGGTCTTAGTGTCCTACTTAATTCATGCTTATTCTTGACTTTCTAGGCTAAAAAATTGAGGATATGACAGACATGTTTTAATACAATATTGAACTTCACGCCTTTAACAAATTCCGATGTTCATTAAGTAGTTAGAAAATTTCAAATATTATATCCATGGTTTGAATGTCAGATAATTTAACCACAGCACATCTTCTTAGTTATCAAATCATTCAGTTTTGGGGATATAACTAGCAAAATATAAGAGGGTAGGTAGATTTACATTGGATTTAGATATGACCACAGAAACATGCGAAGGTGCCTTTAGTTTTGTCACTCATCACAGCGTGTTCCTCAATATTCTAAATATTTCTAGGGTCCTTTAGACTGTTGCTTGGGAATTCGCAAGAAAGTTTCGTGGTTTTGTAAACCAAATTTATATTTTAAAAAGAACAAGCATATGGCTATGATTTTAGATGGTTATATATATGAAAGATGAACTTTATGTTAACTAAATTATCGTGACCTGTATTGTTTCTCGGGACTCGAGCGTCATACATGAACGCTAAATTGCTGTTCGTCGCACTTCAGTCTTCTTCTTCTTCGTTCTTTTGCCAACATTTGTCGCACTTAAGTAACCAAGTTGAACAATGTGATGCTGAAATTATTTTCTATTATATTATGTGTTTTCAGACCCAAAAACGATGACATCAACGACAATAATATAATAGCTCTCTTCGTTCTTATTTTACTCATTTTGAGAAATCTTGTTATTGTCTAATCCATCATTTTTACCAGTGTTTTCAATAGTCTTTTTTCGTGCATATTTAAATTACCTTGAACCATTTTTTTAAACAATTTTCTCTTCAATAAGTCTCTCGCCAATTCTTTCTCACACATATATAAGACAAAACTATTTTATTTTGAATGTTTTTTTTTTGGGTACTCTGAAACAAGTTCTGCGAGTAAAAAAACAGAAGATAAGTTGGTCAGTGACGGTGACGCACTTCAACCTTTTGTTTTGATAATTAAATATTTGGGTGAAAATAAAATCATAATTTTAAAAATTATTTTACAGTATACAGAGTAAATATATGATATTAATTTTATCTCAATTTATATAAAAATATTTTTTAAAATTGCTTTTGTTAGGATCTAGACAAATCTTTCCTGGTTAAAAATGTGGTTTTCAATCGATATAGTATAATATATTATTTAAACAAACAAATTATAGCCCGGCATTTTAAACTATTTAGCGATTCATTCTGCACTTTGAGTTTTTTTTTTTAAGTGTATTTAGTATCTTAAAGTATATTATATTATGGGTGTAGCTAGAAAAATATTTCAGCTGATGAAACCTTAACTCATATAAAATTCATGGCTATGATAATTAATGAAATGAGTAAAATACATTGAAACTCCTCTATTTTATCTAAATTACATAAGCCTCCATTTTATTTTGAAACGGTATACAAACCTTATTTAAAATTAAAATATATACCATATAAACCTCCGAGATTTTATTTGTATATATAGCAGGCTATTAAGTTTGACTCTCAAAATCTTGTTTTGTCCAAAATATATCTATTTAAGATAAGAATGATTTAAAAATTTATATTTACCAAAAAAATATCAAATACATATAATTTCAAACTTTTAAATATCATATGTTATAACATTTAATAATTTTGGTTATATTATAAAATTTATATATACTTTTGAGATCGCATTTATTGAAACTTAATTTTTAAGTTTATTTGAACGGCTAAGACTATATATTTCAAACCCATATTTTTTTATGATATAATATAAATGATTTAAGCTTTAGAGATAATATAAATTATTTAAATGTATAATTCAAAAATTTTAAACACATTTTTGCTTCAAACATTTATTAAAGACTTTTAGTCAATAACATATTTATTGAATTAATTAAAAATTTGTCATTCCTGTGTTATCTAAATTACTTAGATTTCTATCCCAATGTGATAAAAAAAAATAAACAAATAAATATTTAAAAAAATAAAAAATGAAATTAAGGAAAAACAGAAAAATCTTATATTATTCAAAATAATTTTATCCAAAATTAGACATTTAATGTGATGAAGGAAAAATTAATAAATAAAATTTATTTGAATATAAATTTTGATTTAAAAGAATATTTCTTAAAATATTTTTTTGGATCTGGTACCCCCAACGGTGGACAATTTGACAACCTGCGGTAAAAGTGACAACTTTATGGAGAAACCAATATATTTAGTATACGTTAATTATAATTTAGTAATTTATAATTACAATATTTGTCTCACTTACTCAGTTCGTTTGAAATGGATATATATATATATATATGTGTATAATTATACATTGCAGTGCAATACTAAAAATTGGCTACAATCAGATGTCTCTAACGAATTCCAATGTTTACCCTAGATATTTTGTTTTATTTTCAAAGGGGACAACAACGGATAGGTATGTAGCTCGGGTTGCTTTTCTTCCCCCTCCTCCTTCTGCACATTTTACGAATTATTATTTCATCATGCCTGCCATTTTTAATTAGTAAAATATTAAGCACTGCAGGTAGTATTTTCAAAAACTAAAATAATTTTTAGCTTTTTTTTCATCTTTTTATTTTTTATTGGGGGTTATTGGGAAATTCTTTCTTCTATACTCGATGTCTTGTTCGCCATTTGACAACTTTAGTTCTTAAATATAAATCATTTATAGGGTAGTAATTAATAATTTTTTTCAATTTTATCCCCGTAAATAAAATAAAGAAAATAGATGAGAGAAAATGTACAGTATATATATATTTTTCCAATAACCTTCTTTAATAGGTCGGCAAACGTAGAAACTTTGATCAATTTAATTTGAGTGTACGATCATCTAATTAAACAATGGCCATTATTATCTAATTTTTATTAAGTACATCTATAGCCTCCAAGATATAAAGACTATCTTTAAAAAATAGATAAATCTAAGAAACAAAGTAAATTGGGGTTTTATATTTAGAATCAAATTGAAAGTCAAATTAGCTCTTATATTAAAGACAAGAGAAGGTATTATTGAAATGTTATCTCTTATGGACGTAGAATATTAATACGGAATCCAAAATTCATTACCCTTCCTATCCCTTTTTAGAAGTCTCAGCAAGTTTTTTTGGGCCTAAACAAAAGATCATGCACGAATTTTCTCAAATGTCAATTATCTTTTTTCCAAAAATATACTTTGCTTTGGAAATGAGGATAACTATGGGGAAAATGAATTCATAAAATAATTAAGTGACAGTTTTAGAATATATATATATCATGAAATTTTTTTACATATTTAATGAGTTTTTAGCATATTTTAACAAATTTTTTTAGTGGTTGAAAAACTCTTATATAAAAAGGAACAGAGTGAGTAATTTGTTCCAAAAAATTATGAAGAAAGATGCACGTACAGACCCCTCCTCTTATCCATAAACTGCATAAATTTTTAAAAATCGTCAATTAATTTTCAAAAGTAATACTCAAACATATCTTGATCATTAAATAATACGATACACGTTTCCTTAATTCATCCCATAAACAAGGAAATAAATACATATATTCAGTGAATCAAAGAGATTTGGTAATACAGTAGTAGAATTTGAGTCATCAAACAGAACTCTTATCAATCAATCAAATCTTGTATTGAAAAGTAAGCCAATTACGTTATTAGAGGAAAAAAAGACAAAATAACATTCAGGTCAACGAAACACAACGTTGCTTGTATTGAAAATTCAAACCACCAGGATACTGTCAGAAATTGTTTAATTTCCAACCCAAATGGTGATGATCTTATCCTCAGATCCAGCAAAGACTAATCCTGCTGTTCTATGACATTAGCCTACTGCTCTATCTTCCTCAGTTTCTACTTACCCTGTTAAGCTCAAGGGAAAAAATCTGATGGCTCTGAGCTTTGCTGTAACAAACGGAAGTGAACACAACAATGGCAAGATAACCTTGTTCGTTGTCTTATCTTGCATGATGGCTGCCATGGGAGGTGTCATCTTCGGATATGACATTGGCATATCAGGTGAGTTTCTTGCTTTAGATAGAAACCTTAAATCTTTTCAACAAAGGTTAGTCCGATAAGACTAACAGTGATTTTGAATGAAAAGAGTTCGGTTCTCCTCAGACAAGGTCCAATATTTGAGTCGTGTGTGAAAAATCAAGTTATGAGAGCTACCCCTAATTAGACATAATATTGTTTATATCTGACCTAATAGTATTGAATCCTTCATGAACATTTTTTTTTTAAAAAAGAAAAAGCTAATCCAACATTTTTTTTTTAAAAGCTAATCCAATAAAGACTCAACTCATGCCCTCAACAAGTGTTGGTTCAAGGCTTCGTGCTAATGTGAGGTGTCACTGAAATTGTCTTAACCTTAGTGAGTCCCCCGGTGAATAGGTAAAACTCATGAATCTGTTACCAATGTCACAATATATGGCTGCTTTGATGAACTAAAAGGAATGAATCTGAAGGTGGGGTGACTTCAATGGAGCCATTTCTGGTGAAGTTCTTCCCAGAGATATACAAGAAGAAGAAGGAGGACACAGAAGTGAGCAACTACTGCATATTTGACAGTCAACTACTGACAACATTCACTTCATCGCTCTATGTGGCTGGGCTGCTTACTTCCTTCATAGCTTCGTATATCACCAGAGCTTTTGGAAGAAAGCCTTCCATTACTGCAGGAGCTGCTGCGTTTCTTGCTGGTGCAGCCTTTGGGGGTGCAGCTTTTAATGTCTATATGCTCATTCTTGGTCGCCTTTTGCTAGGTGTTGGGGTTGGCTTTGCAAACCAGGTAAGGTTTTATTGCGAAATTGTGAAGATTGATGAAGCAGGCTCCTTTTACTTGTTTAATTAGAAATGTCGTTGATTTTACTCCAAAGGGATGAGTACTGTTGCATTTTAAGTTCATTTAAACCCGAATTCGATTTTTCTGCTCTTTTTTGAAGTAACACTACTATGCTAAATTGCAATCTCGACCCTTTAAAGAAGAAGATCAAGACCCCCCCCCCCAAAATAAATGACAATGGCAGGACCGGTACCCATAACAGAGTAAATAAAACAAGAAATTATTTTTACATTTACCCAATTTAAATAATCAGGTTTAATTCAAGGAGATAAAATAAAATTCTCGCCTTTTAATTTTTTGGGGCATATGAGGGACACGTGCTTACATTAAGACTTTCTGCATCCTCATTTCCCTCTACTATGCCATCCCTTGTGACTGATTTCTCCTAGTTCTTGCTCAGATTAGAGTAAACTGTTTCTTTTGATGTATCATGTCAACTTAGAAAATTCCAGTAGCAGCAAACTCCATGCTTCCCAGGAGATAATTACACATCCACAAAACCTCAACAGCTTAGTTTAAACGACAAAGTTGCTCAATCCTCAACCACAGCGAAGAGTCATTTGTAGTTCTCATGCTTTCTTAGGATTTAGTAGATTTGGCTACCACCTAACACCGACCATTTTCCCATGCTGAGAAATTATTGTAATGTTTGCTCTGCAGTCAGTTTCTCTGTATCTCTCAGAAATGGCGCCACCAAGACTAAGAGGTGCAATCAACAACGGGTTCCAACTTAGCATTGGAATTGGATTTTTGTGTGCTGATTTTATCAACTATGGCACAGAGAAGATCAAAGGTGGATGGGGTTGGCGTATCTCACTAGCCATGGCAGGAGTGCCAGCCTTGATCCTCACACCAGGTGCACTTTTCCTCCCAGAAACTCCCAATAGCCTAATCCAACGCAGTAAAGATCACCAAAAGGCAGAGTTAATACTTCAACGAATTCGAGGAACCAATGATGTTCAAA